CACTGCACCCTACTAAACCCCGGTGCCGGGCAGCACGGTGCCCGAGGGCCGGCTCCCCCGCCCCGTGTGCTGCCCCCGCGCCGGGCCGGCCCCGCCGTGCCATGCTAACACGGCCTGGGGATGGTGATGTGTGTGCTGCCGAGGGGACGGGATGGCATCCGTGCCTTCCCTGCCGTCCGTGCCTTCCCTGCCGTCCCTCCGGCTCGGCCTGGGGCAGTGCCGTCCCTGCCCGCTCAGCAGGCAGCCGGCAGGCCTGGTGAAAAGCCTGGTAGTGCTGGTGCCACACTTCTGTTCGTGGGCCTGAACACAGCCCTTCTTAGACATCTGGAAAAGATCCGCAACCCAGGAGCTGCTCCTCCGAGTGACACTATTTGGTAGATTGAAACTGGAATTTCAAGGGAGAACTTTGATTTCTGCCCTGGGAGATCTGTATTTGACATTCCTGCTGTTGCACAGGGAACCTGTGGTGGAACAGGGACCAGACCCAGAGATGCCATCCTCCAGATGAGCACCACCTTGCTCTCCCCTTCTTCCTTGTTAAGCCTTTTGGGAGGTGTGAAAATCAAAACAGCCCCACATAAACAGCCCCATACACAGTGGATAAACCAAGCAAGCAACAAACCTAATCCTCAGCTGTAGTGATCTTGGAGGTGTTTTAGTTCCTTGGTAGGAATTTCACAGGTGTGTAGCCAGGTAAGCTTAGAGCAAGGTGTCTGGAATCTGTGCTCCAGTATAAACTTCAGGTCACTTCAAGCTTGGTGTTTCAAAATACTGACTTGATTCAACTGAGCATGTGCATGGCTGTGGTGTTAGTGACTGGGAGCTGTAGGTTTGCCTAAATAGTTCCCTAAATCCCAAATGACCTGCTTCTACCTGAAGGCATTTGAAATACTTGGGGAACACGCTCCTCGTGCTGCAGTCAGAGTGCAGGTGGTTCCTGGAACACTGCTCTCTGTTCGGCTCAGCTGAGCCTCAGTGCCAGAGGTTTCTCTGGAAGCCAGGAGAGCCCTGTCTCCCCCCAGCCAGGAATGGCTTTCAGCATCTGTTCAGCAGGAGGTTTGCCTGGGCCATGAACCCTGTCTTTGAGGGCTGTGGGGAGTCAGGGAAGAGGATTCCTGGGATGTGCTGTGAGGCAGAGGCTGTAACCTGATCCAGCTGGCCTCGCAGGGCACTGGGATATGATCCTGGTTCCAATGTTTAACGTCATCCCCTCGCTCTTTCTAGCGCTTTTTGGCATGTGCCAGCTGCTGCTGGGCCCTGCTGATCCTGCTCCCTGGATGTGCAGGGTGTCCCATGCCCCCTGGGCTGTACAGACCCCCTCCTAATGAAGAGTAACACTTGAGCTTTGTCTTGAGCTTTGTATTCTCTCTTTCAGGCTCCTATGGGCGAGTCTGGGACAGGAAATTCCAGGCGTGAATCCCCCTATTCTTCCAGTAATCCACAGGTGAGACTGTCCCCAGGACAGGTGATATGGGAAAGGCAGGGAGGCACTTCCAGGGATAAAGGAGAGAGGTAGCTGAGGGCAATTTCCATCCTTGAGTCACACTGGCAAGGTGGAGGGGATCCATCAAAGCAGGCAACCAGAAAGCAAGAGAGCAACTCCCTCCTTCAAAATGTGTCAGAGATCCAGGAGGATAAGCTGGTCATAAATGAGCTTTGAGGGGTAGCTTAATTGCAGGGTGATGAGGGGTAGTTGTGAATTTTTTGGATTAGTGCCTTGTACAGAGATTCTTCAATTCTGGCAGCTAGTATGTGGTAAGAGAGGGAGGAGTCAGGATATGGAAAAGCATCTTGGATCTGCCCAAGATCAGGACTTCCAACTGCTGCCCAGGCCTGCAGAGGATCCCTGGTTCTCCATGTGAGGCTGGAGGTGGAAGGGTCCTAGATGATTCTAGGTGTCCCTGCCCTCAGGGAGTGATTTGCTACAGCTCCTTGCTAGAGGCTTCCCCTCTGGAATGGGAAATATCTTTGTTTCTTGTAACTTCTGATGATTTTTTTCTTTATGAACAATACCTCTTATCCCTTGACATTCATATTCCTTATTTATGTCTGAACTTTCCTTTTCAATATCTGAGTCTTTGTTCCCCATGTCCATCCCACAGTAGGAGGTGTCACAGCTCAGCTGAGCCTTTTGAAATTAAAAGAATTTAAGTAGATTTTTAAATTTTCCCTTTACAGTCATTGCCTATTATTGGGTTATATATTGGGGGCTGGAGTGAATTGCCAGTTACACTGTTGTTCTCTGTCCTTAGTCATTTTGGGTCTGTTGCATTCCTTTTGGAGTCCAGCTGTTCTCCAGCTGCTCTTCCCACCAGCTCTGGCATTTCCTTGGTCCTCAGTGAACCATTTCAGTTCTCAGAGCTGGACAGGAGCTCTTGAGGTGAACAGAATCACCTTGGGGTAAGGTGACAGAGGGGTTTAGGAGAAGGGCCAGGACTATGCAGGAAGCAGTAGGAGCAGCACTCCAGTCCATCTTCTGTTTCTTCTCGGCCTGTCTCATACCTCCCTCAGTTCTTGGATCATTTGGAATTGAGTGTTCATCAGGAACACGGTAAGATTAGAAGAAGATACTGTTATAGCTGAATAATTTCAATGCACTTTGTTCTAGCTGTGTTTCCCTATTTACATTTCTAACAGCAGCTGTGTTGTTTGTAAGTTTTCCTTTTACCACAAGTGCAAATTTTCTTTGGTTTTCACAGAATCCCAGGATGGTTTGGGTGAGAAGGGACCTTCAAGACAATATCATTCCAGTCCCCTGTCATGGGCAGGGACACCTTCCACTATCCCTGTTTTTTCCAAGCCCTGTCCAAACAGGCCTTGGAGACTTTCCAGGAACGGGGCAGCCACAGCTTCTCTGGGCAACCTGTGCCAAGGTGTCATCACTTCAAAGGAAAAATTTCTTCCCAAAATCTCATGTAATCCTGTCTCTATCAGTAGGAAGCCATTCCCCCTTGTCCTGACCCTCCAAGCTCTTGTCCAAAGTCTCTCTCCAGCTCTCTTAGGAGCCCTTTAAGGCAGTAGAAGGGGCTCTAAGGTCTCCCTGCAGCCTTCTCTTCTCCAGGCTGAATATTCCTGGATCTCTCCTTTTCTGGGGATTCAGGAGCCTTGACCTTCAGGTTGTTGCTCCAGGGCAGTAGTTCTGAGGAATTTTGTCTCTTACTCTCTGGCTCCATCTATTTTTAATGTTAATTCTTTGGTTTCAACATCTTGTAGTCCAGCCAGAATTTATTGGTTTATTTCAGAGAATTCCTTGAGGGAAATGCAATCCTTTGTCCCGATTTGGCATTGTGATGGTCATGCCTGGCCTGGAGTTCTGCAAGGGGGTCGGGGGAGGAAAGAGGTGTTTGTGATGGATCTGCATGTGCCAGGCAGGGCAGAGTGGCTTCCCCCATGGTGGGGACCCCACCAGCTCTGGCTGCTGCAGTGTCTCTACTCCTCTCCTGTGGAAAACCCAGTCTCTCCATTTTCTCTCCCATTCTCTCCCCTGCTGATGCCCCTCCAGGTGCCCGCAGCCCCCCGGCCCCCTCACCTGGCCGGCAGGGAGACGCGCTTTGTAAGTGCTGTTGGTGTGCGGTGTGCGCTGCTCCCGCTGCCCCGTCTGCTCCCGCTGCCCCCGCTGCTGGCTCCCCGTCCCCACGGGGGCTTGGGGTCCCCCGGGGGGAGCAGCACCCTGCTGGCACCCGAGGCACGAGGGGCTGTTCCCCATGAGCTGCTGCTGTGATGGCACCCACGGGTGCTTTGGGGAGGAGCTGCGGGGGGATGGCTTTGCTGGGGCAAGTGCGGAGGGTTGGGGATGTGCCCAGGGAATGGGCCATGGGCCAGGAGCAGGGGATGTGCCCAGGGAATGTGCCCAGGGAACGGGCCATGGGCCACGAGCAGGGGATGTGCCCAGGGAATGGGCCATGGGCCACGAGCAGGGGATGTGCCCAGGGACCAGGACCTGGGATGTGAGCAGGAGACAGGACCAGGGACTGTGACCATGGGCCAGGACCTGGAGATGTGCCTGGGGACCAGGAGCAGGGGCTGTGCCCATGGGCCAGGACTGTCCCAGAGTTGGGGTTAGAGTTTGGAGATGTGCAGAGACCTGTGAGGGCCTCCTCACATAGCACAGGTGCTGGGAGAAGCTCACAGAGGTGGGCTCTGGCCTGTCCTCACTCGAAGAAGAAGGTATTAGGGGACAGGGGTTCTGTGGGACCTGGAGCTCCCCATATAGGATGGGCAGTGGGTCAGGGGTAAACTAAAGGCTTTCAGGGTGGATTCCAGATTTACCCCTGTACTTCTGTTTGCAGGCTTCCATTAACTTCACTACATCACAGGATGACAGTAAATCAGTGAGTACAGCTGCTGTGAGACCTGACTGTGGTGTTCCTGTGCATCCCCCAGCACATGGAGCTTGTTTCTTCCTCCTGTTGGTTCCTATTCTGTCTCCAGTCCTCCACTATGCCTCAAGTTTGTACAAATGCATCAGGTCTTACATATGGTTCATCTGAAAACCCCGCAGAACTGGTTTTGCAGCTTTTACTCGTTTCCCCTTGCAGCTTCCCCTCCTGCAGGTTTGCTGGCTTACCCAGTTCCTGCTCCCACTCTCTGTAGTTGCAGATGCTTTCACACAACATCCAGTAGTGATGGTGACATCTAGTAGAAGTTTTAGACTCTTGCCTCTGCTCCAGTAACTGCATTTCTTGTCAGAGCTCTGACTCAATCTGGTTCACGTCCATCCACAGCTTCTGCCAATTCCCATTCCTGTTTGATGCTTCCCTGCTTCCATTCCTGGTGCTCACATTTCCTGAGCTTCGTAAGACTTACCATACCCTGCAAACCCTTGTAGCTGCTGCTGGCATGGCAGGTGCCTGCTTTTGTCTTGGCCTTCTCTGTAATCCACTGGTTCTGTGTAACCCTTCCTTGGCTGAGTCTCTTTTGGTGTTGGCTCCAAGAGCTCTCTCCAGTCTGGCAGCTGGTGCAGGCAACACAGCTGAGGAAAGAAGTGGGGGTGCATGGATTTGTTTATTCACCTGCATGGCAGACACCTCACTGCCCTAACTGCTCATTTCTCTTCTCTCTCCCTCCCCCTTCTCCTTCTCTGCCTTTTCCCATCCTGTCCTGGCGCACTGGCACGAGCAGACCAAGCCTGGTGTCATTCAGCCTCTCTCCCGCGTGCGACCAAGCGCTGCGCCACACAAAGCCGAGGAGGGGGACAGCCCCAACCCCTTCCAGCAGCCTGAGCCATGCTTCAGGATCCACAGCTCTGTAAGTGGCCCAGGCTTTCCTCCCTAAAGCCGCGTGCCTGCCCCGGGTGGCTGCAGTGGGGCAGGACACCCTCCCAGAGGTGACTCTGTGGTTCGGTGACCACATGCCTGAGCTGGGGCTGGTGGTGTCCATGCACCAGCCTGGGCTCCCTGAGAAGGGATCCACACTCCTCACAGGCAGAGCCAGGTCACTGCATCACTCTTATTTCTTTATTTCTCTGGGCCTCCCCAGCTGCCTCATGTCTCCATGGCCCTGTCCCGAGTCAGCACCGCTGAAGCTTTTGTGGCCAAAATCCCCAGAGCAGATATAGGTTTAGAGCCATATTTGTGAGGTGTTGAGTTCTGTGGAGACAAAAATCTTACAGAACCTTGGTTGATGTCTGGCACTTTGGAGCAAAAGCCAATCCCATTCTGCTGATGGGTTTTATAGGTTGCAAAGTGATTGATTTTGAAAGGTTCATACTCCTGGGGCTGTTTGTTGATGGGAGAGAAAAAATCAGGTATTTTGGTCTTTGTCATGATGGAAGACCTGTGTCTCTTCAATATAAAAGTGGAAGGTGTCTGTGCCCATGACAGGGGGGGAGGGATTGGATGGGCTTTCAGTCCCTTCCCACACAAACCATCCTGGGTGAGATTCCATTAATCCAGTGCTTCTCTCCCTGTTGGAGCTTGTACAATGTGATACCAAAACAGAGACCTGATTTGCAGGCAAACAGCTGTACAGAATCCATGGAACTGGACAAGGTCCGTATTTCTCAGTGTCTTCTGACCTCACTGTGCTGTCCTTTAGCCCATGCAGTAGCATCATCAAACAGCATTATTTAGCCCTAGTTCAGGACTAAGAAAAAACAGGCAGCCTGGAACCAGACTAGTGCAACTGGAGGGTTGGAGGGATGAACAGCTAAAGGGAATTTACTTTGCAGCAGGATGAAGGTGTCATTCCCCCCCACCCCTTCCATTTCTGTGATGCTTTGAGCACCCCAGTGCTGCTTCCCTGCAAAGAGGGCAGGATGGGTCACAGGGAAGGTAGGTGAGGAAGGGACCAGCAAAGACAGTGACAAACAGTAGGAAGGTCCCCTCAGACCTTGTCAGATGTTTCTCAGTAAGTGTAATTCTGCAAAAGGAAAATTTGAGATCAAAGGCTGATGTCCACATCACAGATCCCTAGATCAGGTCATGGAATCACAGGGTGGTTTGGGACAGACCTTAAAGACAGGGATGCCTTCCACTAGAGGGAATCTTGTTCAGCCCTAGAGTCATTGTGTAGCTATCCTGTTCTAGCCCAAAAAACCCTGGTTCATGTAAGCACTTGCTGTTTAAATTGGGTGAAAATCCTCAAGGACTGGGACAGCAATGTGCCCTTGGCCAGAGGATCTGTCACAACATTCCCATCGGGTCAGTGCAGATCTGTGCCACCAACAGGACCATTGCTTCACCATCCAGGAAAGAATGGGGCTGTGACCCTTGTGCTGCTGTGTGCAGTGTGTGTGCAGTGCTCTGCTCCTTGTGTTCCTGCCCAAGGCTCAGGAGCAGCCTTCCCAAGGCTTACATATTCCTTACATGTTCCCTAATATATTCCTTTCCATATCCCACTCGTCAGGCTCTGTGGGCCAAGAGTTGGGCTGTGTTTCCCCGTGTGGGTTTTTTCACCCCTCCTGTGCTCACCTTTACCTCCTGTCTGTCCCTGTAGCAAAAACCATCGCCACTGTCGCCACCCTCCCCTGACGAGGTCCCCATCAATGTCAAGCAGGCCTACAAGACCTTCGCAGCAGTGCCCCTGTCCCACCCACTGCTGGGGACACAGGTAACTGAGTGCTGGGGTGACAGCAGCACAGATGTGAGCAGGCCAGAGGTGAGAAGGGAAGGAGGTGGTGATTCGTTCCCTCCAAAGAAAACTGCTGTAGTGGAGGGACATGTTGAGGTCCTGTGGAAGTTGGAGTATGTTGATGATGCAGATGTTTATCCTGGCAGAGTATCCATCAGGTCCTGGAAGCTCATGGAATCTCACATCATTGTTGTTCTCCCCAGACATTTGGATACTGATGAACAACCATGCTGTTCTCATGCAAAGGAACTCTGAAATTCCTGACTCCAGGACTAGATTAAACCTGTGCTGAAACATTTTTTAATAGATTTTGATCTTCATTGGGACTCTTCTTTTTTCTCTCCATCTAGCTGAATCCTGGAACAGTCCAGGCTAGGTGAGGCCTTGGAGGTCATTGCCTCAATCCCCCATGCAAAACAGGGCAGCCTTGGATGTTAGAATTGCAGAATCCTGGAACATCCTGAGTTGGAAGGGACACACAAGGATCATTGAGTCCAGCTCAGGATGCCCCCAAGAATCCCACCATGGGCCTAAGAGCATTGTTCAAACACCTCCAGAGTTGTAGAAGGTTGCTCAGGCAGATCCACACAAGTTCTGAATTAGTTTCTGTGTGTTTGGATAAAGCCAGAGGTCATCTCCTTTTTGTGGGTCCATTCAGTTTGTCTAATTATAAAACTTGCTGCTTTTCCATAGCTTGTTTGCAGTTTTCAGTTTACCCCTATGGATCCCTGGTTCACAGATAGATTTTGTGGATCGGTTTCCTCCCCCTGTAGTTCTGTTCATCCAATATCCTGTTATGCATCCCAGTAAATACAGAATTTGTTCTTTCTCATGGTATCTCTGCTTCTTTGAAGTAAATTTTGGTTGTTTTTGTCTTTGATGTAAGCAAAGTGTGGGTGAGCTCCTGCCAGCTCCTGTGAACCCCTTCCAGCTCTAGCTTACCCCCTGCTCCTGCTTTGTGCCTGTTTCCCATGTTTTTCAGTTTCTGCCCTTTCAGAAGTTGTCACACCTGGTTCTGTTTAACCCTCAATTGAACATAAATCCTCATTCCTGACAATTACTAAACCTTGTTAAGTCTGTGTGAATTCTGGGACAGTTTTGGAAGCCCGTGTCACCTCGTCTGGCCTTGGGGACAACATGGCTGGAGGATTACTGGGGAGTGGCTGGAAGCTTTGCTTTTAGAACATGCTAGTTTTTCTCTGTTCTTAGGAGCTGTCTGGTCAGAGCAGCACAGAAAACACCAAAATGGCCTTGGAGGTGAGTTCTGGAGCTGGGGCTGGAAGAAAGGTGGGAGTCATGGGGGCTGTGGATGGGGAGATGGGGTCGTAGTATGGGAGGGTTGGGGAGGAAAAGAATATGGGGCAGCTGGCAGAGTAAGGGTTGGGCTGACATGGAGAGGGTGCCCATGGCCTGTGGGCAGTGCTCTGTCTGGGTGGGCAGTGTGTGGCTGGGTGGGCAGTGGTGTGGCTTGGTGGGCAGTGTGGGCAGTGGTGTGGCTGGATGGGCAGTGGGCAGTGGTGTGGCTGGGTGGCCAGTGGGCAGTGTGTGGCTGGGTGGCCAGTGGGCAGTGTGTGGCTGGGTGGCCAGTGTGGGCAGTGGGCAGTGGTGTGGCTGGGTGGCCAGTGTGGGCAGTGGTGTGGCTGGGTGGGCAGTGGGCAGTGTGTGGCTCTTGCAGGTGGCCGGGCACAGCCCTGGGGGACAGCACAGCCCTGAGCAAAGGTCCTTCCGTGAGAGGCAGAAGTATTTTGAGATTGAGGTGAAGCAGCAGCACCTGGACAAGCCTCCCAAGCGTGTGTCCTTGGTGGGGGAGGATGACCTGAAGAAAATGAAAGAGGAGGAAGGTACGTAGGAATAAGAGCACAGAAGTTTGCCCTGTTAAATGATTCCTTTCCCACAGAAATGCAGCACTTCCCGAAGCCCATGGGTGGTTATTGTAAGGCCTGGGAATAATTTGAAACTAAGTGAATGTTGGAAGAATTCTATGGATGCTCAGCTGATACTTTCTGGGTTGAAGTGCTGTAGTTTCAGGGTGTCCTGTATCATGGAATCACAGAATGGTTTGGAGGTTGGAGGGACTTTTAAGCCCACTCAGTCCCACCCCTCTGCCATGGGCATGGACATCTTGCATTAGACCAGGCTGCTCCATGCCCTGTCCAGCCTGGCCTGCAACACTTCCCGGGCTGGGGCAGCCACAGCTTCTCCTGGCAACCTGTTCCACCACCCTCCTTGGGGAGGATTCCCTCACAAGATCCCATCTAAGCCTGCCCTGTGGCAATGAGGAGCCATGTCCCCTTGTGCTGTCACTCCTGGCCCTTGTCCAAAGCCCCCTCCAGGTCTCTTGAAGACCCTCTGGGTACTGAAAGGCTGCAATAAATTCTCCCTACAGCCTTCTCTTCTCCGGGCTGAACAATTCAGCTCTTACAGCCTGTCTTCAGGGCAGAGGGGCTTCAGCCCTCGGAGTATTCCAATATCCCTGCTCTGGACTCTCTCTAGCAGCTCTATGCCTGCAGTTGGTAAACACTTCAGTGAATTTTTAAAGCCACTGCAGACAGTGAGTCTGTGCCAGCTGCCCAGGTGAGTGGCACCCTCACCTGGACTGGCAGCAGAGCTCTCAGACCTCTCAGTGCTCACTGTGCTGCTTTAGGTTTGCACTAGGAGCTAAATTGCTGCTCTCGTTTTTGATGTAATTTCCTCCTGCTTGAGAGTTGTTTTAGGTGATGAGGATCAATGTGAAGTTGAAAAAAGTGTTTTTATTAAACTCTCCAGCCAGTCCAAATTATGCCTGGACCTGGCATTGTGCTGTCCCAGCTTTGGAACCTGGTATTTGCTGTGGTTCAATTCCATGTCATTAATGGTTGCCCAATGCTCCATCCTGTCTGGATCCTCCTGTAAGGCTTCATGGCCCTTGAGAGAGTCACCAGTGCCTCCCAGTTTGGCATCATCAGCAGTGCTACTGTTGCATTCAGCTCCTGCAGCCAGATAAAATTATTAATAAAAATCTTGCCCAGAACTGGCTCCAGGCTTGAGCCCTGAAGAACACCACTGAGGGCTGGTAACCTGCAGGACACCTGCCCAAAGAGCCGCCTGCTCATGTCTCCTCCTGTCCCTGACCCTCTTGGGACTTATGTTCAGCAGCAGAATTGTTCTCATGGCCACTGCCATGCCAGCACCAGCACCCAGGCCTTGGTTCCTCCAGAAGGCCAGTGGGGAGATGCAGACTCCCAGGGCTGTTCCCTCTGGGAAAAGGGCAGAAGAGACTGTACCAAATTTCCAGTTTGAGCATGAGAACACTGGGAAATCTGATGGAAATCTGTCCATTGAGTGTCCAGGGGTGGAAGTTTGGTGGATAAGGAAGGAGGGAGTGAGGAAACGAAGCAGAGTTTGTTTCATCTGAAGCATTAGTGGCAATGTGGAGGAACAAAGGTGTTCATGGAGAGGGAATGGATTGAAACCAGCCCCGACCTGCAGCGATGAGAAGCGTAAGGACTTGCCCAGAAATCCCATCCTGGGGGGTTCAGCAAATGCTTTGTGATGTCAGCTGGCTCCTGTCTCCCTTGGCAGCCCGCAAGCTGCAGCAGCAGCGAGCCCTTCTGCTGGAGGAGGAAGCTGAGGAGGATGAGGAGGTGAGGCAGGTGCCTGAGGCTGTGCAGTCCAGCGTCATCATCGAGGGTGTCGAGTACAAGGTGGAGAGGCTGAATGGAAGGAACATCCAGGCTTCAGCAGCTCGGTAAGACAGGAGCCCTGTACCACCCACATGTCAGAGGCGTCCCAGGAATTCTCAGGGAAGAGGGCTGGGCAAGATTTCTTCTTCAGCATAGAAAAGGCCAAGTTTTCCAGCTCACTTTTTGCAGAGAACATCTCCTTCCTGTGGAAGTACCTATAGTCTGAGAGTATGTAGAGAGATAATTGTTTCAAGATAATCTGAATGATAAAGTGATGCTAAAACAGGTTTGGGGTTTTTTTAAGCTTTTGTTTCCCAGCTGTCTGGGACTTGGCCTCCAGGTTACCTTGATGGTTTTTTCCTAATTATTGAGCATAGAACTGAGGAATGAGGACAGGATTCTCAAAGGCTCCAGATAAACTAAGAACGCACTGGAGTAAAGCTGAAGCTGTTCTTACCTGTCTTTGAAGTCTTTGGAACAGACATTCTACTTTCCACAAACACTTTTCAGTCACGGTGGTAGAACACACCCTGGCATGTGGCATCTCATTTCTCTCTGTTCTTTCTGCCCAGTCTCAGCTGAAGAACTTCTCACATAATGATGCCCTGAGCCTTTCCTTGCCCCTCCCGTGCTGGGGAGCTCCAAGGAGGAAAGCAGTCATATGCAACTCTGGTTCTCTAGGAAGTCACACTTAACCCTCCTGTTTTCATACTGAAACATGGGATGCTGAAGAACAGGAAGGCTAAATCCATCAGATGACTTTCAGTTGCTTATTTTTTATGCTTGAATGCAGGGGAGGCAGAGGAAGAGACTGAAGCTGTGTTTCTTGAAATAATCTTTCTCATGCTGGAAGAGAAACTGAAATTTAATTAAAATAAACTTGAGCAGTAAAAATTAGGGCTGAGTGTCACTATAAACTGAGCACCCCTAGCTCTCCCAGCCAGGTTCCAGCCCTCAGAGCAGCTCATGTCCATCTCATGGAAGAACTTGTAATAATCAAATTAATCTGTTAATGAAGATATAAAATCAGGATCAGGTGACTTGTGTTTCCAAGGTGAATCTTTCTTGGGCTCCTCTGTTTGGAATTAATTTGTGCTACATCTAACAAAGCCAAGTATGAGGTCCATGTTCCCAGGACTGAAGGGTAAGACCCAGAGGAAAAGAAAGCCCAACAAATATTTTTATTAGAAAATCTGAGAAAAAAATGTATGTGTGTGTGTGTGTGTTAGTGCCTGGCTGACCTCCAGCTGCAGAAAATGAGCTCTGATATTCATGTGGACATTTAGGAGATCCCCACAGGGATTTTCACAGCAGTGGTCATGGAGTGCTGTGACTTCATCCTGGAGCAGTTGTTGCTTTCTTGGGGTGGACTTGTCCCACCCTTTGCTGGGTGTGCAGCCTGTGGTGCTGCAGCTCATAGGGGTTTTTTTTCCAGGCCCTTGGAGCTCAGTGAGAACAGCAGCTCACAGAGGAATTCCTTGGAAGAGGGGATCAAGTCTGAGCAGAGAACCAACTCCATGTCGGGGTGAGTGGGGCACCTGGGGCAGGGGCCGGATGGTTCCTTCTGTCTTAGCAACCAGGGGCTGCAAAGGAAGGGTTTGGGGGAGAAAGGGAAACTGATCAGAAACAGCTTCATAGAATCCTAGGATGGGGTGGGGTGGGTTGGGTTGGAGGGACCTTCAAGACCATCTGGTTTCAACCCCCTGCCCTTTGGGGGTTGCTCCAAGGACAGTCCAAGCCCCATCCGGTCAGAAACTCCTTACAAGAAACTTGCCTGTGTTCTGTCCGCCCCCATCCCACGGCAGCCCGGGGAAGTGGCACTGAGCAGGTGATTAGAGCTGCCACTCGCAGGCGGGTGAGTTGTGGTGGCCCCACAGCCTCAGCCTCACCTTCTCTCCAGGCTGAGCCCGTCGCCGCTGGGCGCGGCGGATCCCGCGGCTCCCGTGCGCACAGCCAAGGCCGAGCGGCGGCACCAGGAGCGGCTGCGGATGCAGAGCCCGGAGCTGCTGAGCGGCCAGGAGAAGGAGCTGTCTCCAGCAGAACGCCGCGCTCTGGAGGCAGAGAAACGGGCCATGTGGAGGGCAGCACGGTGAGCCAGAGCTTCGCTGCCCCTTCTGGGCCAGAGCAGGGGAGCTCCTGAGGATCTGGGGCCTAAAGAGAATGAAACCAGGGAATAGGGGACCCTTTCAAAGGTAGATGTTGAGGGAGGTTGAGTAGGATCTATTTGAGAAGATGGTGACTGGTGACGTGGCTGAGCCTGTCCACTTCTGTCAGCACAGGGGAGGCGGGAGGGCTCCCAGATTCCCCCTGTGCCTGCACAGCCGTGGTCACGGGGAGCTCATGATGAACAGGAACACAGCTGTGTTGTGGTGGGTGTGTTCCTTCCCTCAGCACACCATTCCCACCTAATTCATAGCCCATGTGAAATGGTGTTATTGAAGCTGCAAGGTCACATGTCCAAAATGAAAAATGGAATTTCATATTTCCAGTGCTGCTGGGCTGGAAATCATGCTGCAGCCCAATCACTGGCAGGATCAGGCCGTTCCAGTCTTACCCACATGAGCTATTCCATCAGCTATGAGAGAGTGACTAAAAATTGTTGTGGAAGAAAGAACTTTCTAAGTCAGAACTTAAGACTTAAAGCTAGTCCAGACATTTACTGCATCATAGAATTCCTTCCCAAAACTAGTCAGTCTGCTCCTAGTGATAGTTTTTCTTCTCCTGATATTCCCGTAGGAGACATTCAAAGAACAGTCTGAACTGTCTCTTTTGGGGTTTGGATGAGGCTTGGAGATGAACAAGGTTTTGGATAAGACTGGAGGGAATCACTGAGCAATTCCAAAGTTTGTGCTTGATGTGGATGATGATGGGGCTGTTGCTCCCAGGGAGGCTCTGAGAATGGAGAACTGCAAAGCATATCCTCAGTGAGAGCTGGACTGATGTTCTGGGGCTTTGAGCAAATTTTGTCTGAGATTGGTTTTCACAGAATCCCAGGATGGTTCGGGTGAGAGGGACCATCAAGCCCATCCAGTCCCACCCCCTGCCATGGACAGAGACACCTTCCACAATCCCAGGCTGCTCCAAACCCTGTCCAATCTGGCCTTGAACACATCCAGGGATGGGGCAGCCACAGCTTCTCTGGGCAACCTCTGCCAGGGCCAAACCACCCTCACAGGGAAGGATTTCTTCCCAAGATCCCACCTGACCCTGCCCTGCAGGAGTGGGAAGCCATTCCCCTTGCGCTGTCACTCCAGGTCTTTTTCCAAAGTCTCTCCCCAGCTGTCTTGGAGCCTCTTTAGGGACTGCATTGCTCTGCCATAGCCTTTCTTATGAGGCTGGATGGCGAGACCACCAAGTTCCTTGTGCTGCAGGTGTTTGGAGAGGGCTGGAACCACATCTCTGTCTCAGAAAAAGCTGTCAGTGTGAAATAGTGCCAAAAGCAGCCATCACTGTCAGGCTGGGCAAGCACCAGAGTGTCAGACATCCTGCACACTTCCTCTTGGTCTTCAGACCTCCTGTCAGGCCTCTTCTGGAAATCCACATCACTGTTCTTGGAGAGGGGTAGTGCCCAATCTGTCATCCCTTCCCAGTGAGACATGCAAGGGTTTCAGTCCCTCGTGCCTCCACTTCCTGAGTGCATTCCTCACATGATGGGGAAGGCTTCCTGAGATGTGTCAGTTCTGATTCATGCCTGAACAGGAATGTATCCAAGGAATGCTGTAATAGAAGCTTTGTTTAAGATGAGTGTCAAAAGGAGAAACAGGATGTTGGCCATGCAAACTTTTGGAAGCGGAGTCCATGCAGGGACACTGCTGCTGTCCCACGTGTGCACCTCCAGCCTCGGGACTCTGCTCTTCCAGGAATTTGGTGTTGCCAGCAGATAAATCTGAAAAATGCTGGGAGGGAAGAGGATGCTTTTAGGTGATGTGATGTGATTTGTTCTATCTGCCCATGGTGTTGGGCCAGCTGGGACTTGGCTGGAGTTGCTCAGGGCAGAGTAAAAGTTTCACGTGACACTTTAGGAGGATTAGTGAGTGTGGAGCACCATGGGTTTGTCCACTGTGGGCAGAAGAGAGATCTCTCGTCCCAGACCTTCACTCTCTTTAAAGTGTGCTTTGTCCATGGAAAATGAGGCTAGCAAAAGAAGAGCCTTTCCAAGGAGGGAACACCTGCAAGGAGAAGCTGCCTGAGCTGTCAGATCCGCTTTGCTGGGTTTTAGTTTGGCAGACCAGGGCTTCAGCTCTACTTTGCTTCCAATGCCGAGGCCCAGCTTTTTGTGCAGCTCCTGGAGAAGGGCCTGGCTGATGATTTGGGCAAGAATCAGTCAGTCACTGATTCAGTCAGTCACTGTGCTCCCTTTTGTAAGACAAGGAGGGACTATTCCTGCTGCCACAGATCTCCCAGGAGGATCCAGTGGTTTCAGGGTCCCTCTTTCCTAGCTCTGGAATGGGCACAGTGAGGTGATCAGGTCCTGTCTCCAGAGGTCCCTGTGCTGCAGGGGAAATTCTACACTACCCCACATACAGGGCTCAGCCCCACTAACCCATGTTCTTTCCAAGTGCTGCTGGGTTTGTTCCTCCCCTTCTAATCTCCTGTCTTCTGCTTCTTTCCAGTTCTCTGCTCTGTGCTGTCACTCGTGACCCTCAGTTTGCACCTACTTGGGCTTTCCTTGTTCTCCCTGTGTCATCAGTGCTCTGCCAGGATGTGTGATGCCCCTCCTTCCCCCAGCACCCCTCATGCTCTGTGGAGACACACACAGAGACCCACGTTACACACGTGTTCTGGGCATTCCCAGCCTCTGGCACAGTCATGGAATCATGGAGTAGTTGGGGTGGAAGGGACCTTAGAGCTCATCTGGTTTCACCTCCTGCCACAGGCAAGGACATCTTCCACTGTCCCAGGCTGGCTCCAAGCCCCATCCAACCTGGCCTTGGACACGTCCAGGGACAGGGCAGCCACAGCTTCTCTGGGCAGCCTGTGCCAGGGCTTCCCCATGCTCACAGGGAAGAATTTTTTCTCAATATTTCATCTAAGACTGCCCTCTGGCAGTGGGAAGCCATTGCCCTTGTCCCTGCACTCCAGGCCCGTGTCCTGTGGGAACAGGGAGGTTCAGAGGCTCTGGCACAATGAGGGGCAGGTGCCCAGGAGTATTTTGGCAGTTTTCCTCCCTCACACACACTGGTTTAGGGACACGCTCGCCCTCAGTTACACGTGTCCCACAACAAAAGCTGTGTCATGTGCTTGGCCATTTTGTTCCCCTTTTCCCATGGTCAAGCCGAGGTGCACGGAACACATGACCAGTGTGGGCTGAGACTGTCCCACGTGTGCCCACACCCCTCAGTCTGACTCTCTCTCACACTCTTTAACCACCTCACAGCGTTTTCTGTGGGGCTGAAGTTGTTCCTGGTCCCTCCAAGCACACGGGGAAGGCAGCCCTGGATGTGGAGGCTCTGAGGCTGATGTTCCTGGGTACAATCCCAGATTGCCCCCAGGGGTTCCTGCTGCCTCAGCAGTGGCCAGGGTTGGGCAGGATCAGATCTGGGACCCAGTGTAGCTACGGCTGCCCCTGTGTCAGACCTGTATTTCCCCATCACCCGGGTATGTTCCTGTATCTGTTTCTTTCTTTTCCTGTTCTTGTCTGCTGCAATGTTCATCACCATCATCTCTTCCTCTTCCTCCTCCTCCTTCTCCTCTTCCTTCTCCTGCTCCTCCTCCTCAGATCCTCAGCTCTTGAAGACAGTATTAAACAGTACGAGCAGGATCTGGCCAGGAAGCTGTACCAGTCCCGGCAGTGGGCACCTGCTCCCGGGGCCAGGTCTAGCCCAGTGCAGAGTCACGCCTCAAGAATCCCTGGGTCAGGAGGCCAATCCAGGTGTGCACAGCCCCCTCCCCACAGCTGCATGCTCCTGTCTGTGTCCCTGTGCCCTAGCTGGGGCCTCCTGGGGCAGGAGGACATGGGAGTGGTCCCTGGTGTCCATTGCCCTGAGAACCAAGGGGGGATGCTGGGGCTGTCTGATGGGGAGAAAGGAACAGACATCTCCGAGGGCTGACCCACTCTTTCACAGCTATTTCACAGAATCTCAGAGTGGGGTTGGAAGGTACCTTAAAGATCATCTTGTTCCACCCCTGTGCCATGGGCAGGGACACCTTCCATTAGACCAGGTTGCTCAGGGTCCCATCCAGCCTGGCCTTTCATGATCTTCTGATGGCTGAGGAGGGTTAAGGTGCAACACACTGAGCACAGAGGAGAGTAAAGCCCCCAAGGACTGATCCTGCTCGTGTGATCCTTGTGTTTTGTCCCCAGCTCGGGTCACTGTCCTGTTGTGTGGCACTCTCGGACTGCCCTCAGCATGTTGATCCGTAGCTTCAGGCTCTGTGTGTTTGACACATGTGATCACGTGTGTGGTTTGGGATGGCAGCCAGCCTGGCTGTCCTCCTGCCTGCCTCGGGGACCCCTGGGGGCTTTGTTCCACCCATCTGTTTTCAGCCCACGGGCTCTGGCAATGCCCTGCTGCACGCAGATGGCACCTGTCCCCTCAGCGACAGGGCAGTCACTGATGGCTTCTTCTCTCCACCCCATTCCTGAGGCAGGATGAAATCACTGGAACAGGATGCTCTTAAAGCCCAAATGGTTATTGCCAAGTCCAAGGAGGGGAAGAAACGCAGCACACTGGAGCAGCTGGCAGAGTCACCATCACCCGCTCCAACACCGTCTCCAACGCCGCTGGAAGGTACCGAGCAGCTGCTGCTGCCTCCAGGGGAAACAGGCAGTGCTCCTGGAGCTTAGCCTGCTCAGAAGCAGAGCTGTGGGAAGCAATTCCCTCCTTCAACCTGGCTGGAAGGTCCTTGGGGCCATGTTGCATCTCTCAGCACTGCCACACTGGGCTTCACCTCACTGTGGGGACACCAAGATCCCAGCCCGAGGTGTGTCATTCCAGTGACCGACTGGCTGTGGTAAAGCTGCAGTTTGAGAATTCTCAGACAGTTTTACTTTATTTGGTGTCTGTTCTTCACTGTCACCTGTCCCCTGTGGTATTACTCTTCTCCTGGAAGTCATTCATCACCTTCTTTGAGTGCCTTCCTTTGGGATGTGCCCCTCTCCAGCTGTAGAACATGTGATAGCACCTGAGGTAGCGGTGAGGTTCCAGGGAACCAGGGTGGAAACACAACCAGCATCCTGACTTTCTGAAAAAGCAGCAGTGTTTGTTGGGAGCACAGAAGGCAGGGTCTGCCCTCAGTGTGGTGTCAGCACACTGAAATGCTGCTGAGGAAGGAGGTGGCATGGGGAGGTGAATGTCACACAGCCAGCCTGTCACTAACTGTGTTCTTCTGTCACCTCTTGCAGATTGCAGCCCCAGGAACGTCACTTCCCCGGGAAGGCTGGTATGATGCTCTCCTGCTTGCTTTTTTACCTTTCCTGGTTACTCAGCTGTGCCTGGGAGCTGTGGGTCCCCACTTAATCCTTGAGCCAGACCTGGCTGCATGGTGCAGGGAATGGTGAGGGGGTCAGTGGATGGAACATGGCCAAACTCCTGGCTAGAGGCACCCCCTTTATTGCAGCTCCCATGTGACATCTGCTTTCTGTTTCCCTGTTTTATTCTGTCATCCTTTCCGTGGTTCTTCACCTCCTTGTTCAGAAAGTTTCCCACCATGGTCAGAAAGCCTTTCCCCAGCTTCAGAAGGCTATTGCCTGGGTTCAGAAGGCCTTTCACTTCACTTCAGGGACTTTGGCCCCATGTTTCCTAAACATCACAAATCAGACCTTCAGCTGCAATCAGCATTTTCCTTTTCCTAACCCTGAGTTATGCCATGGGACATTGTTGCACAGAACTGTAAGAATTGGTGAGACAAACCAGGGAAAGCGGGTGGGGAGCAGCTGCGTAGAGGGATCCTTGTCCTGCTGGGTCACACCATAATGCAGCCCTGGATCAAAATTCGGAGTCTGCTCCAGCTATCAGAAATCTTGCCATGAATTTCCCCCCCAGAAATAGGTTTCCTACTTGACTTGATGTGCATGGACCACATGATGTTTCTTCTATGACTCAAAACCCCTGTCCTGACACCAGAAGAGCTCCAAAGGCAGTGTCCCAGGATGTCCCAGGCTCTATCCAGGCACTCCTGCCTCTCCCTGAGGATGTCCCTCTGCTGCTGTGATCTCTGCTTAGATTGCTCAGCTTGCTGCTGCTTCTCCATCTGTTTCTCTCCCCTCACTCTCTCTTTTCTGTTTCTTCCCTTCTGCTGTCCCTTCTAGTCAATGTCTGAAAAGAAGTTTGACTACCGGGAATTTGCTGCCATTCCTTCCTCCAAACCCGTTTACGAAATCCAGGTATAAACTGCATGCTGAGCCACCTTTAGATAGGTCAGGACTTGCTTTGGTGGAAGAGCTGAAGCTGAGAGATTCGGGGAACTCCTCTGCAGAGGCCTTGCCTGTGTAGGGGCAGTGACGCCAGTCTTGGTGAAAATTGAGGGCTTATTGGAGGATTCAGCCAAGTGGAACTGAGAAAAAGTTGGTCCAGATGGTTTTAAAATGAATGACAAAAGCTTTGCAGATATAAAACATCTGCATATTCAACAAAATGGCTCCTGAAATATTTTAAAGTGAAAGACGATAACTAAAAGGGATGAAAAGTTATAGGAATCATTACAGAAATGATGGCTAGCAAATGCCAAATTGGAGCAGATGTGAACTTGCAGCTGGGATGTGTCTGGTTCCTGCCCGAGGAGCAGCTGGGCTGCCTGTTCTCAAGTTGTAGTTCTGCTATCAGTGAGCTGTGGAGTAAACACCTGGTTCTGAGAGTGAATGCCATGCTGAGGTGTTTCTCCTTCCTAAAATTGCTGATTTTAAGTTGCTTTGTCATGGAATGCCCGCTCTGGAGGTGATCCTGACCCCCAGCCCCTGCTCTGGGGGCCACTGGAACCAATCTTTTATACAGCTTTTTATACACACCATGAAGCAGATACCTGTGCATGGAGAGCCAGCAAGCACTGCCACACTGGGCATCACCTCACTGTGGGGACACCAAGATCCCAGCCCAAGGTGTGTCATTCCAGTGACCGACAGGCTGTGGTAGAGCTGCAGTTTGAGAATTCTCAGACAGTTTTACTTTATTTGGTGTCTGTGGTATTGCTCTACTCCTGGAAGTCATTCATCACCTTTTTCGAGTGCCTTCCTTTGGGATGTGCCCCTCTCCAGGTTCTGTTCCAGGTGCACTGAGGGACAGGGCTTTGAGCCCTGTGGCAGCTCCAGACCACCAGGTGCAGCACTGGCACTTCATGCAGCTGAAAAGGTGCCTCCAAAGGAGGCTGCAGCTCCAAATCCTATGGCCTCTCAGTGGTGCAATAGTTCATAGAATCCTGGGATGGTTTGGGTTTGGAGGGACCTTAAAGTTTATCTCATTTCACCCCCTGCCATGGGCAGGGACACCTTCCATTATTCCAGGGTACTCCAAGCTCCATCCAACCTGGCCTTGAGCACATCCAGGGATGGGGCCACAGCTGCTCTGGGAAACCTGTGCCAGGATCTCACCACTCATAGGGAAAGATTTCTCTCTCATATCTAACATAAATCTCTCTTTCAGCTTAAAGTCTTTTTCTTCACTCTACATCTCCTGCCTTTTGTATTACTTCCTCTCCTTCCTACACACAGGCCAGGCAGTGGATGCTTGGCTCAGGCTTGAGGGATTCGTGCTGGAGTCTCTGTGGCCGTGTCCCCACTGTGGCAGTGCCAATGCCTGAGAGCAGCAGGTTCTCTGTAGGGTGCAGGAAGGTGGAGGTGGGGAATTACTGGGCACAGGTGTTGCAGGTGTGAATGATCACATTTGCTGTTCTCTTCCAGTCGCCTGATGCAGCTGATGACCTCAGATACGTCGATGACCGGAATAACTCAGGTAAGCCCAGGCCAAAGGAGCCGTGGCTGCACTACTCACTCCCTGCTGTGCTTCTAGAGGGTTCTCCTCAGCTTGTGGAACCACCCTGAGGACTTTACCTTCTGTTGCTTGAAGCAATGTTATGTTTTGTCTGTTCTAGAATGAAAACTCCACGCTCACCACGTTAATTTTGGGTAGGATATTTGCATTGTGCTTCAATGATGGCTAACTTTTCCAGTGTGGTGTGTTACAAGCATGCCTGGTTTTCTCCAGTTTTGTGTCCTGGGGTAGAGTGGTGGTAGGATGTGGCAGGGAAGTTTTGGCATCTATCAGCTGTTGCAGGTGCATGATGTCCATCGTTCAGGGGCTGTCTTGTGCCCCTTTTGCTGGAACAGGGAATCGTGCAGGTAAAATCATCCTGCTGCAGCCTTGGAGCAGTTGGCGCTCCAGTACCCAGATGGCTCCGAGTTACACTCATGGATCTGTGGGCATGGCCATCTCAATCAGCAGGAATTAAAGGTCTGCAGCTGGATCTCCAGGCTGTCCAGCTGGGGTGTGGCTGCCTGTCCCCAGCTGTAACAGACAGGTGAGACTCCCACCCAGTTGGTTCCAGTGGTGATAGCAGCTCCATGGAGCTGGGCAGAGCCTGCGTGCTCTGTAGAAGCACTCCTCTTGCCTCTAACAGTTGGTGCTGGTTTGCTTCTACCCATTTTGCATGTTTCACTCCTTTATTTGAAAAAAAACAAACAAAAACCAGTTCCTTTTATCTTGACAAATTCCTCTAAGTACGGGCTGCATCCCAAACAGCTGACCCATGGCTGAGCTGGTTCCAGAAGGAGGTTCTGCTGTAGGACTCAATAAAAACTTACTTTCCTGGGAGCAGTGTCTGTTCTTCATCCCTCAGGGTCATCCTCTAAGCTCTGGGTTATTCTCTTGGGGTTGTTTATTCAGTCAGTGCAGGGTACTGAGAGGTCAGGGAAGGTCTGGGAAGTACCAGCTGCTGCTTAGGGCATTAGGACCTCACTGTTGCCTATCACTGCTCTGTTGGGCCCTCAAATGGGATGAAAGCCAGAAAGAAAAGAGTGTGGTGCTCATCAAGAGACCCAGCCCTTAGTCCTTAAGCTTAAATCACCTGTGATGTGTGTGAGGCACAAGAAAAAGAAGCAGGTTTTCCCACATCATCTGGAAAGGATGGCAGGTGAGGATGCCAGTAAGCTCTCTTGGCATGGGACCAAGCTCTCCTGGCTTTTTTAGAGCCCCCCCATCCCATCCCATCTCCCAGGCAGTGCAGCATTCCAGCCAACATAATCAGAATTGTCCTGGATCATGTAATTATGGCTTTTTGACTCACAGCAATTCTTAAACTTTGTGCTAGCAAACCATTGTATCAGGAACTCTGAGAAAATCCAACTGCAGGAAAGTGGTGGCATCTCACTCCTCCCAGCACACCCTTGTCCTCTTGTCCATGCAGAAACAGTTCCTTCCGTTCTCCGGTCTAACTTCATGGTCACTGTCTCTTAAATGTTTTTAAAAACCTTTATTCCAAGGTTTCCATGAGGCTGTGGAGTTACTGAACTGCAGAGCAGCCTTTTTAAGGTGGAACCAAGCAGTGTGCTCCTGTTCTGGCATAACTTTTCCAGATAACTTGGAGACTTTTGGTTCCAAATCCTGTAGCCCTCAGGTTCCAGAAATTCCCTTGATGACTGTGTGTTGCTCCTGTTACTGGAAACCTGCTTATGGGGTGTGAGAGGCTGCCCACCTGGGCTGTCTGTTGTTTGCAGCAGCTTCCACAGGAACGGTGCCTCCTCATCCTGCACCTGCTGTTGGATAATGAACTTTGCAGCTCTTACACTCAGAGGAACCAAATGTGTTCTCTCTGCCCTCTTGTGGCTTTAATTTATTCCTGTCCACCCTTTTTAGCCACATCACTACTCCAAAGACTTGCATCCATCGTTCTCTTCTCTAGACTTGAATTTCACAAGTTCTTTTCCTCCAAAATGCCAACATTTCACAGAACTAGAATCTCTGGATTCATACCAGTGGCAATGCCTGTGCTTTCCCTCCAGTATTTCCTGTTTTCTCTCAGGATGGGAAACATGTAGGTGAGGGCTTTACTGGTTCAGGATACACCAGGATGCTGTTTGGTTAGAAATTGGTTCTTAGGGTAAGACCATAAGAAACAAGGAAAATGAGCTTGTATAGATGAATATTCTCTGTTTTCTGGGCTCACCTATAGTGTAGGCACATCTTGAACTAGGTGTTGTGTCTTCATCAGCAATGGAATGAGCCTGTGTAGAGCTCCAGATATTTTTTAATCTTCCATGGAGTGTTGTGATATCAAGTTCCACAATGAGGCATTTTATTTACTTAAATTGTTTCTTGATAACTCCCTTGCGTCTTCTGGGATGCAGTGAGTGACTTTGTCTCGCTTGCTCTGTCTGTTCCAGTCACGTCAGCCAACAGAGCAGCAATTCTCTTCTTTCCAGGCTAGCAAATCCTGGTTCCTCCTTGTGGGAATAATTCCCACACTCATCCAGACTTTTTTTATTTCATCGGTATAAGGTAGAGGAGGGGACCAGGACTTCCTGCAGTTTCTGCTGGAGGAGAGGACATTCTGAATTGTGTTCTCCCATCTTTTCCAATACCTAAACTTCATTTCAAAGTGAAATGGCATTTCTGGGAAGTTGCCAGTATATACAGAAATATCTGCTGATGCCTATAGAACCATCATCTCATTCAAGGACGGTGCATTTCTTTTAGGCAATCAGGATTCTACTTCTCTTATTGAGCTTAAACGTCATCCAGTAGTGTAAAAATGAATTTACTGAGTCAGCACAAGGTTCTGGCCAATCTGGGATGTGATGGGAGCCACTAAGAGTGCCAGAAAAGGGCACAAAAGAAGAAATGCCCAAAGTAGTTCCTTCTAGAATTGCTGCAGGCTGCAGCCATCAGGGGATTTGTACTTTCTAAGCCAGAGGCTTTGGTTTTAGAATTCTCTCTTTCTTGAATCTATTCACATCTGCAGTAAATTGCCCCTTCCATGTAATTTTACCCCTCAACTGTATGGATCATGATGCACTTTGTTATACTTGAGCTTCATTTGACTCAGATACAGCTTGATGGCATCAGTAGTCTCTCCTGATACAACCTTCATCACTCCTCCTCCTCAACTACAAGATACTGACCCAGGTACGAGTCCTGCCTGCTGGGTCCTGTGGCAGCACCTTCCTGCCCTTTTCCTGTGGTGTGACTATTTATTTGCCCACCAAAGCTGCCCCACTTGTTTTCAGTAGAGCTTTTCCCAGGGTATAATCCAAATATTTTTAAAGCTTAGTGTGCTGCATGGGGATCACTAAACCTTCATGTTTGGGGGCTCCTTTGGCCTAAGAGGGTCTAAAAGGACTGACTTCTCTCTGAGCCATGGGATTTCCTCCCCCACCCACCCAGGCTGGATTTTTATCTTCATCTGCTCATGTGTTGCTTTTATAGCGCCTTGTCTGAGAATCAGTCACCTGCTTCAAACCCCAGCATTCTCTGGAGAGGTTGCACAGGCTAGGAGGGCTGGGAGTGTTCAGCCTTCAGAAGAGAAGGCTCTGGAGAGCCTAAAGCGGCTCCAAGAGAGCTGGAGAGGGACTTTTTATATGGGCCTGGAGTGACAGGACAAGAGGGAATGGCGTCCCACTGCCAGAGACCTGTGCCTGGAGCAGAGGGTTGTGCCACCTGACACTGGGCACAGCTCAGCAGACTAAGTGAGCCTTGGCTGACAGATCTTCAAAGATTGCTCTATTTGAGGTTCTCTGCTGCATCCAAAAGCTTTAGAGAGCTTTCCCAGGAGCCGTTCTGTGCTTGATGCTTATGGATTGCCTGTGCTCTCCTGGGTTGTCCTTCCAACAGATACTGGGGTGGTTGAATTCCCCACCCCGCCCCGAGGACCAAGGTTAATGTGAGGCTGCTCCCATCCGTGTCTGAAGGGAGATCTCATCCCCTCAGTCTTCCTGGTCAGGAATGTCACCTGTCCCTGTAGTCCTGATCTGTGAGCTCTGCTCAGCTCCTCAAGCCTCTCAGGTGCAGCTCCCTGCATCCAGCTGAGCACTGACACACAGGGTGAGCCTCACCTCATTGCCCCTGTCCTTCTCTAAGGGTCTAGATCCTCCTGTTCCAACACTTCAGGCACAGGAGCTGTCCCACTAAGTCTCTGTGGTGCCCATAAGTTTAAAGCCCTCCTGACCAGCTGGGCCAGTCTGTGACCAAAAATGCTCCTCCCCCTCCCTGACAGAGGGACCCCTCAGCCCCCTACAGGACTGAGTCAGGGTGGGTCCATGGTCTGGAGAGCAGCATTTCAGGACACATGATTTTTCATACAGCTTGGCACTTCCAGTCATGTTCAGTGAATGATGGGTGTTACAGGCAGGTGTCTTCTTACACATGGTACTTCCTTCCCAGGATCCACAATGGTCACTACATGAGCTACAGGTCACCAGGAAGTTCTGGGCATGGAGTTACCGTGAGTGACTGAGACCAGTGCTGTCCAAATTCTAGTACCTGGGGGATACCCTGGAACACTCCCTGAAAGTGTTCAAGGCCAGGTTGGACAGGGCTTGAAGCAACCTGATCTAGTGAAAGGTGTCCTTACCTATGGCAGGGGTTGGAATGAGATGACCTTTAAGGTTCTTACACAAACCATTCTGTAATCCTATGATAGCTGTAACATCTGCATTAACTGTGCCAGCTGTGTGCTGCCAGAATCACAGAATGGTTTGGTTAGGAAGGGATTTTACAGATCACCCTCTGTCTTGAGCAGGGACACCTTCCACTAGACCGGGTTGCTGCAAGCCACAGCTTCTCTGGGCAGCCTGTGCTAGGGCCTCACCACCTTCATAGGAAAGGATTTCTTCTCAGTATCTTACCTAACTTAACCCAGTGCTTTGTCTTCAGGTCTAACCATCTCTTGTTGTTGCAGTTCTCCGGGAGCAGGATGGGCAGCCAGAGGAAGAGGACACATTGGGAACACGGGATCCATCAGCACCAGCTCCCTCAGCCCTGGAGGACATGGCCCTGTACAGCAACAAGCGGAAGCTCCGGCACAGCCGGCGCAGTTTGGAGACCGCTGTCCCCACATAGGTGACCCGACACATCTGGGCAATGGACTGGCCTGGCACAGCCCTTCTGAGCTTCCTGTGCTCCAGGGACAGCACCAGGCTGCCACCTTGCCTACAGACTCTGGATGGAACCTGGGCTTCCCGGGAGCTCTGTGGCCAACTGACTCCTCTGAGGCTGTGAATCGCCCTCGTTTCTCATCCAACAGTCTACTGGGGCACATCCCAAAATTGGGACAACACTGGACTGACTGCTGGCAGATGGAGAGGAAGGGTGGCCAGGACAGTGGGCAGCTTGTTAGCCTGTAAATATTGTGTGTGGGGAAGGGTAGGACAGGGAGAATGTAGGAGTGTGAAAGTGTGTTGGGCTCCAGCAGTTACTGCCTCAACTTGGGTTTTGTAGTGGTTAAAAGGAGCTTCTCCTCTGGTGGGAATCAGGAGAAAGGTCCAACCTGCCTTTACTCCTATTTGGTTTCCAGTCTTTTGCCAAAAAGCATCTCCTCCCACCTCCTGCACTGTGTCACCTCACTTCCCTTTGGGAGTGTTTGGGAATGGGAAGCTTGGAGGCAAAAATAAGGAAAAAAAAGAAAAAATCCCACCAGAATTCCAGCAAAGTGCCTCCCTCTGCCACTGACACTCTGTGCTTAAGGAAAACAGAGCCAGCTCTCCACCACCTGCCTCTGTCTTGGTGGGACAGTGCTCCTGCCGGGGCTTTGCACTGTCCTGGGGACAGGTCCCTCCCTGGTCGGTCACACCCCTTTGTCACACACGGTGTGAGCCACTCCATGAGCGCACAAGTGGAGGAGTCTGTCTCCTGTAGCACTGGGGCTGAACTGGCCAACTGGGGCAGGAATGGGATGGAGCCAGCAGCCTTAGCAGGGGTGTAGGGGGTATGTGACAGCAATGGGGAGCAGGACAATTGGGGTAGGAGACGGTGGCAGAGGTGGGAGGTGTGACAGCAGGTACCTTAGGGAGTAGAGTTCAGGAACTGGGGATGGGTAGAACGTGGCATTGCTCGGGTCAGGTTGGGAGTTACAGGATCTTTGACTTGGGAGACACTGGTGGGGAGTCCACGGTGTCCACGCTGGCTGGAGGGTGGAGTGGGATGTCAGGGGTGCTGGTGTGGGCTGGCAGGGAGCACCAGGAGCACCACAGAGCAGGATGGGGCTGGCCTGTGCCTTGCAATAACTACACAGTTCCACTTTGCCAGCTCATTGGCTTCAGGCCCCTTTCCATGGAAGACAGGGAAAATGCACGTTTGGCCACGCAAGAGGGAAAAAAGAAAATGAGAAATGAGTGGGGGTGTGAGTCCTGGTTTCCACATGTGGAACAAGGGCTGTGAGCAGATTCTGTATCACGTGAGCTCTGCAGATGTGGAGGTCACAGCTGCTGCTCCTGACTCTGCCATCAGCTTCTGCTGCCACTAGTGAGGGGAAACAACCCTTTTCTTTTTGGTTTTTTTTCACTGCCTCTAACCGTGAGGAAGGTTCAAGCTCAGCACAATCCCATTCCTTGTCTGTTGGTGCTCTCTGACTCCCCAGTAAGACCAGGGTTGGACCTTGAGCCTCACAGTGGCTGGGCAGTGACAGGCATTTGTGCATTTGCTGAAGGAAAGAGCTGGATGCAGTTTTTTGGGTGCAGTTTTTTAGTTGAGCATCTCTTTTCATGCCAAAATCCAGCAGATCATTTTAACTGACTCTGTATGTTTTGATTTTACAAACTTGTGAAGGAGGAACTGATAATCTCACACTGCAGCTGCAGCTGCTTCCATCATCAGCAATTTGAGCTTTTCCTTTTTAAATCTAATTTTAGCATTTGCTTTTTAACAACAGCAGTTTTGGAAACAATCCTGGCTGGGTTTTGGTGACTAACTTGTGATTCTTCTCTTCTTTTCCTGTGCGGTACCTGGTGCCAGGCTCTGGATTCTCTCCCGTTCTCTCCCAAGAGACTCAGAGGGAAAATTAGCGCAGCAAGACTGTAACTAGTGAAATTTGTACAACCAAAGAAATCTATTTTGTGGTTCAAGGATAATAAAGTTTACTTTACATTTTAGAGCCTTTAGTGACAGTGATTTGCCCTGTGTGAAGTCTGCAGTTTCAGTTTCAACACTTTGGTGGTGGTTGTTACTCACCGCATAATCCAGCAATGATGCTCCTTATGTTCCTGCTTTTAGGAGCAGGAATTACTGCCAGCTGTGAGAATATCAATATTCAGGGATGAGGCAAAAAAAAAAATGTAATATGAAACACAGTGATACCAGCAAGATCTTCAGTCTCTTGACTTTCCTTATCTTGGCTGTGTTTAAAAAACAAAACCAACAAAAAAAACCAAAACAAACAAACAAACAAAAAAACCCCAAACAAAACAACAACAGCAGTATTTTGTTTACATTATTAAAGTTTTTAAAAACAGTTTGACTGGTAAAAACCAGCTCCATTTCCTGTAGCTCAATCAGGTTTTCCTGAGTCTGGTTCAATGGATGGGCACCATGATGTACCACCTCAGGGAAAGAGGAGCAGGCTCAAGAGAGGGTGGATTTGCTTTTCCCAGAGCCAGGGTAGTGCCAGACCTCAGCCTCCTTCTTCCACCTGTGTGACAGGTACAGCTGCAAAAGGGGCCTTGGCTATGCCATGTCCTACCTCAGGAACAGCCTTGTCCTTGGTCAACATGAGGGTTCAGGAGTCTGAACTGCAAGCCTCACAGTACACTGTACTGTGCTCTGTACACTGGTCCTTTGCTCCATTTAATATGTCTATTCTCTCCTCACTTCGTTTCCTTGGGCCAGGTTTACTACCAGGTTTCTCTCTTAGTGTGTATAATTTGCCTACCACAACTGAACCCTGATTAGATAATGGGAAGTAGTTACACCTTCAGACAAAAGTAAACACAGAAACATCATGAATGAAAATTGTTTGTTTAGGAAGTATTCATGTAGGGTTGGAACTAGATGGTCTTTAAGACCCCTTCCAACCCAAACCATGCTATGATTATATGATTTTTATATAAATAGGAACAGAAATAACCCAGCTCAATATATAGAGAGAATGCAAAGATCTCCAGGGTTGCACTGGCAAAGAGCAGAGCACAGCTGGCTGGGTTGGAAGGTTTGCAAGAAACACTCTTGCAACTGACTGCCTTGTGTAGCAGCAGCAATTCACAGACGGGCTCGGGGAGATGGAGGGATAGGAAATGTCATATCCGGGCAAAACTCAGTGTGTGAACCTGCACAGCCTGCCCCTCTGATCCTGCTAAATGCAAGTTTTCTTGTTTTCAGGAGTCAGTCCTGTCTGGTATTGGTACGTAAGGTGAGGGATGGTGTTCCTTTCCCTGTGTTTCCCTCAATAAATAACAGCAGGCAGGTGTCTGGAATAACTGTAGGATTCTCTTCAGAGACTGTCTGCCGACAGAGAGGAGGGGCTGTCATGGAAGCTGCAAACCACAACAAATTTACCTGTTTCTTATCTCTGAGAAACCTGGCCCTTGGAACACCTGGGATGATGGGAGGCTGGAGAATGTTGGTTTCCAGCCTTGCCCACTGACCACCAGCTGCTTTTGGAGACAAATTGCTGGAGGAGATGAAGCTGTGATTGTAACTCAGTCCTATTTTTGCTGCTGCTACGCATAGTTTTTTTTGATTCTGTCAACAAAGAGCATCAAAAGACCCCAAAGCCAGAGCATTGCAGGAGTTCCCATGCCACAGGTACCACTGCCACCACCAGAGAAATTTGCTTTGCCCATCTTTGGGCCTTGGGCAAAGCCACTTCACTGGCTTCAGGTCCTTATCCTTATGTCCTGCTGCATCACATCTCCATGTGTATTAGCCGTGTTGGTGGAGGAGTTAGGAACAGCTGCATCTCCCGGCGGGGCCCAGGGCTGGGCGGGCACCGGCCGCGTGGCTGAACAACGACGACTTGCGTATCTGACACCGGGCCGGGCCTGGCTGTGCAGGGACAGGCGGCACCGCCGGGGCCGGCAGCGGGACCCAGAGCGGCGGCACCGCCGGGACCGGGCCGGGAGAGGGACCCAGAGCGGCGGGCGCGCGACCCTGTCAGGTGACGCTGTCACGTGACGCTG